CTTTAAAAATATAATTTAACGACTATAAAACGCACTGTACTGGCCACAAAAGTATAAATATATATGGGAAAGATATAAACGGGCGCGAGAGAGAAATGTCTCTGCGTGCACCATAAGGAGATAGCGAAAGTTGCATATGTGACGCATAGCAAAATTTATATATAATACATTAGAATTTATCTCATTGTTGGCATATGTATAAATTCTGCGCCCCGCAAACGATACACAGAGAGGATAGTAAAAGCTCGAATATAGTATACTTACACATGTGTGTATGTGCGCTCGAAACCGCGTTAAATAACGATTACGCGCATAATATCGTTGTAGCGCGAAAAAGAAAAAAAAATTAGAACACGCGATCTCGAGCGCCGATACCAGTATAGGCGAGGAGAGCGAGCGAGAGAGAGAGATGCATTTGAAATCCTCTTCGGAAAGCTTATACACACATGCACACAGCGCGTATATCTTGAAACATTACGCGTTAATCGGATCAAAGAATTTATATATTTATTATTATAAAGGCACAACACGTCGAGCTATAGCGTTATGTGTATACCCATACGTCAACGCGTGTACATAATATAATGTGCGCAGTGCGCGCTCGATGCCGCGCGCGGATAATAAAGTGAATTATGTACACGATCGATCGAGGCAATGTGTCGGGTGGCGAAAAGATTTTCGTTCTCTACGCGTATATATCGGTATTATAACGCGATATATAATGCGACTGTATGCGCGCGAGAATCTCGGAGTGTAAAACTGCGCATTCAATTAGCTTGTCTCTCGACGCGAGCAAAAAAAGAGCACTTCGTCTCTTTCTCTCATTCTCTCTCGAGCGATTAGTTATTACGGTATCAAAATTTTGAAACACAACTGGCGCGCGAGTCGTGTTCCTATTAGTCAAGCGGGATGTCAACGAGATACTGTAAGTACTTGGCCGCATAAGTGGCATTTTTAAAAGCACAAAGGTAAATTAATAAATCGCTCACGGTAACAGCTAGCAAACGTGAGAAACTTGATGGTTTAGGCGGTCGCTATTTGTCGTATCGAGACGATTGAAAGAAGGAATATTTTGTCTTTTTGCGTTGATTAAGATGAAATAAAATTGCTTGGATAAATATTAAATAGTTTGGGAGTTATAGCCTTACAAACAATTCATTTGTTTATAAAAATTTTTCCTCAATTCCAAGCGAGCGAATTAGAGTACATTGATTGATTGATTGATTTGTTTATTTATGGGACCGAGGGGGGGCGGGGGTTGGGGGTAGAACCCCATGTGGCCCCGAAGTAAATTACAAACAGTAAATGAAGAAATTATAACACAGTGAATTAAAACCATGTCTATACTTATACAATTATTTTGACTTTGCCGCTTGCGGATTCACAAACAAAGGTACTCGCCATCTAGTGACCAAGACTTCAATCACTCCATTGACTTTTCATACATTTTTTCGAGCAATCGATTCAAAATCGTTTCCTGCAAAATCGAAGTGAAATATTTCACGCGGTATTTAACAGAACGATGATCGCTAGAGACTTTCTACAGGTCGTTTATACCGAATAGATATAAAATATACCATACGGCTAGGGAGGCTTGCGCGTTGATATAGGTGTGCAACGCACGTAACGTATACGTATGTACGTCTGCACATAAATAAGTAAATAACGACTCGGTCGGACACGCGAAAATTCATCAAGTGTGATGTATCGCCTCGAAGCCACACACAGACACATCGAAAGAGAGATTAGAAACCAAAAAAAAAAAAAAAAAGAAATGGAAAAGAAAAGAAGAAGGCTTGGTTTTCTCACACACACATAGACACGAGCACACGTGCGAAAAGCCATATCATCGAAGCGTCTGCGGGCGCGCGCAATAAAACTCACGAGGCAATATATATTGGGTTTACGGAGCTCGGCGAATTCTTCGCAATTACGAGAGCGCGGCAAGGAAAGAAAAGCGTCAGCAGCGGCGCGTCGAAGTTGAGCGAGAGAGATGATGATGATGCACGAACGAGAGTTCTGCTCTCGACGCGGCTTCGTCACTTTCTTCGTTGTTGGCCTCTCGCGCGTAGATATATCGCAATATATAGTTGTGTGTAGGTGTGCACACGCACATACACATTTTACGATAATTTACACGCACTGGCCCCGGCCGCAATGCAAGTTAGAGTGAGAGAAAAAACTTCCGACAGCTGCTGCTACTGCTGCTGCGGTAGCAGATCCGGAATATGTATACGTATCCATATTATACCTATATAGACGCCTCCTCCCGCGAGAGCTCGTCAATTAGATAATTGCCAGCTATCTTCGCGCCTTAAATTGGCCTCTCTCTCTCTTGAGGTTCGCAGATATACGCTTCGTTGATTCCGCACAGAAGCTCAACTTGGCTTAACGCGCGCGCGGCTTGGATCTAGTCTAGATACTCAGGCGCGATTGTGCTCGCGCGCGCGTCGATTATACAATCCGCGCATAGTTCTCGATTCTTTCGAACGAACGTCCGTAATTTCCGCGATACACATTGTTATATTTTTCGTTCGCGAGCTTTTTATTATTCGAGTTTGGGGTCATCGAGCTTCACCTCGTTGGGCTCATGAGGCTTTGGCAGATATAGCAGCGAGTTTTCTGTCGCGCGCGTGGGCGGCGGCGGCGAATTTCACGGGCTTTTGAGTCGCTAAAAGGATGAGAGAAGGAGAGTAAAAAAGATGCGCGATAGCGTTGGATATAGATATCTATACGACGACGACGATGCATGTGAAATCGATCTTTTAGCCCCGCGTATGTGCGCGCTCTATAAGTTACGTACTTGTATACACGCGCAAGACGATCGCACACACATACAGATAGAGAGTAGAAGACTATCTATACCAGGCTAGCCTCTTCGCTGCCTGAGTGATCTACTTAAATATCTATGTCAGGCTTTTTTATGCACACCCAGTTCGCGATGGTTCTCTCTCCTCTTCTCCGTCCGTCTGTGTGTGTATATGTGTGCGTGCGAGCTGCGTCAATGGTACACTATACTATATACGCGTTTATGGATGCTCCTCTCACATATATATATTGGCCATATAATTTTTGAAGCGCGCATATATAACGCAGCGCGCTCGCAGTATAATTTCAAGCTCCGATGACGATCATCGTGCGTGCACGTCGTCGACAAAAAAAAAAGTCATCAAACCGCACCGCCGCGCGCGCGCGCTCACGATTGAAAAGCGGTTTTTCAGTCGTGGTCCGGGTACTTGTATTTCTATACGTATACTATCCACCGCCACCATATATCGCTCGTGTGGTCTAGACGTGCGCGTCTGGAAAATCGAGCTTAAAAAAATCTAAAAGTCTGCGTTGAAAAAAAAAGGCTCGACGAAAAAATTCGAATGTCTGCTGCGCACCTCTCGTTAATGAGTTCAAGGAAACATCTTGTTTTTCAATACACATAAACATCGCGCGCGCACTGCAGACATTTTTTCGAGTATTTATAACGGCGAAGTGCAGAGATGTTGTTCTATCGCAATTTAATCCGAGTAGTATAGCGCCGCGTACGCACCGCGCCGAGACCTTTGGCGCAAAAACGTGTAAAATGATTGTGTATTACGACATATAACAGACACACACATACGGACAAACAGACGTTAGAGAGAGAGAGAGAGAGAGATTGGCCAATAGAAGCAATGGCATATAGAACTGCATATACAGACACTCTCCAAGCTGATACGAGAGCGTGTTCGCGCGAGAGTAGACTATTTCAAAATTATAAACCTTTCCCGAAGACCCCTGCGTATTATAAATATATTAACTGTGTCGGAGCGCGCGCTCGCAATCTGGAAAAATTATCCGCGCGTTCGAACATGTTCATTCACGTGTGTACACACGCGATCGTATATATATGCATGTATCGTATGTATATGTTCGCGGGCGCGGGATTATTGTTGAAAACTGCAGCAGTAGCAGAGAAAAAAAAAGGAGTAACAACGAATCTTACTACTGCCACCGTTGAAGGAAATCATGGGGCCTTTGTCAATAACAACTTGTATTCGATTCGTGGCTCGCTTCTAAAAGAGCTATTTTCCATATCGCGTTTTACAACGCAGAGAGAAAAAGGAAAATCTTAATCGTCGTTTTCCGCGTACATACCGAGTATATAATGCGTAAGTACGTGCGTGATCGATGAAAGCATACCAATTAGTTGTGTTCGATACATTTCGAAGCTCATCTTGGAGTTGCATCTTGGAAAATAAAAGTAATCTTTCTGTTGTAAACTCGGCGTTTTTTATTTTACGAAAATAGAATGTTAACTTCGTTACGTGCTCTTATATGTAAATAAATATCCAGCATAAACACACAGAGCTGGAGGTACATGTAAATTTTGATCCAATTTCCCATCCACGTTGCGCATCGAACGCTATACAGGAAATCGTTGAAAATTGCGTAAATCTGCGAGTTTGATCAAGGATCCCGAATGAATTTCTCGGAACGCATTATAAACATTAATTTTTTTTAATGAAAGCACGTAAACGATAACGATAATTAACGAACTCGATCTAAATGCGCGCCTGGAAAAGATTGAAATCAAAGAAAATCGGGAATAAATTACGTTCGAATGACCGAAAAATCACTCGCAATATGCGCCACCAACTTTAAACGATCACGTCGAGATGTATGTATATATAGCCAGCCCGCAGAGATACATAAGCGTGTAAAAATTTGCATAATTCGAGAAAACGTTGCAGAAACGTTAATTTTATCTCAGCGCGACGGACGGGGTTACAACAGTGTGTTTGTGTGTATGCGTGTGCGTGTGACGAATGAGGTCATCAAAAACCTGCGAGCACTAGTACCACCATAATATACTGTCAAATAACTCGAAGAAAAGCATTAACCTACCTATTATATTAATCACTCTCGGAACATATCCGTCTATGTTGTTTCGCTCGTTTGGAAATGAGCTTTCCTTTCTTCTTTTTTTTTTTTTTTTCTTGAACGAAACGCTGTATTATTAGCTGGTAATGGCACTTGTGGTGCCATTTGTTGTTGTTTGGTTTTTCTTTCTTCTCACCGAGGTGCCCGTGTACTGCTCTTCATTTGTTTTTCGCCTCCACACTTGTCATTATATTCCTCGTTTTAAATTGTACACAGTTGTACAGCGCAGAAACTTCACGATTTTCAATTACTTTCGTTTATTCAAAGGCCACTTTGGGATCGTCTTTTTTTTCGTTGATGACATTCAATTTTCGCGCAATAATCTTGGCACGAGGGAGAGAGAGAGGAGTTCTCGCAATTTCTCGATGGAATTTCTAGTATTTTTGCGGGCTACGAACTATTTCGTGAATTTCGACGAGCGCCTCGCGGGCATATTTCATAATTTTTCGCGATTGCCGCACAACATCATCGTCGTCGTCGTCGTCGTTCGGTGTTTTTATATTCGAAAGAGCGAGGTGCGAAAGGCACGCACGATTAACGAATACTCGTGTTAACGTTTAAACGACAATTTAGTCGTATATGATTTTAATTGCGATCTCGAAACTCAACGTTTTTCCTTTCATTTTCCAGATCGTCCGATCGAAAACGTTAGCTTGGGTCGCATTGATCGGCGTCTTGTGCCAAGTCAATGCCCAACAACAGCAACAGCTGCCCGCCGTCGACAGCAGCAGCAGGTGGTCGCGTCAAACGACCAACAGCGAGTGGATCCCGCTGCCTCATCCCAGAAACGGTCAATTATTGAACCAGCAGCAAAAACCGACACCGATAGCCGGTCCGGTGCCACCGCCACCCTTCCGTACCCACGCCACCAACAATGACAACAACCCCCAAGCCGCCGGCCAAGTGCCCGTGGTCTCGTTGCCGCCGGTACTGCAGCAGCAGTATCACGATCAGATCCATCAGCTGCAGCAGACTCAGGACAGCATACAGAGGCTGCTGGTGCTGCAGCAGCAGCTCAAGGCTCAGCAGAACATCTTGAACGTGAGTCGATTGCAAATTTGCTTGACATCGATCAAAAAAATTGAATAATATTCGCTTATTGTTGCTTCGATTTCAGTCGAACGCCTATCAGCCGAACGCCTACTCGAATCCCGAGCAGCAGAAGCAAGCTCTCCACCAGAGCACGATAACCAACGTGCAGACTCTGCCCGGCCTCGCCCCGGAGGTGCTCGTACCACCGGTCCCATCGAATCAAGCTCTGCCCCCGGTGTTCCAGGCGCAGAACTTCCACCAGCAGCAGCACCTCGCTCAGCAGCCCAAGTACAAGCCCGTGCTGTCGAACGGCCAGTTGAATCAGGGACAACACCTGCAGCAGCACCTGCAGCTGCCGCAGCAACAGCAGCAGCAAGTCTTCCGCCAGAATCTTCAAGAAGTTTCGAGTTTCCCGAGGAAGGAAATTCCCAAGGAATTCCCGTTGAAGCAGCAGCAGCCACAGCAGCAGCAGAAGCCCAAGATCGTCAAGGACGAGGCGTCTCGCTTCAACTACGTGACGCCCGCGTCCGCTCAGCTCGGAGCCGACCAGCAAGAGGTAAATTATTACTTTATTTTATTTTATCAAATTCAAAACTTAATACTTTTCTCTCGAACGATCAAGGTTCAACTGGTGTACGTGCCAGCCGAGACTCTGGCCCAGCGAGGTCAAGCCAAGCTCAAGCAGCAAAGCACCCAGAGCGGCAGCACCAAGAACCTGAATCCCTATCGCCAGCACCACGAGGAGGTGTCCGTGACCCCGGCGAGTCCGGCCTACGACGCGTACGCCCGCGAGATTCTGTACCAGCTGCAGAAGCAGCACGAGCAGCAGAACGCCTACCAGAACTTCGGCCGCGACAAGGAGCAGGTCAGACAGGAGGCGGTGGATCGCGAGGTCGAGAATCAGGATCGTCTGAGGCAGGAGGCGGCACGCAAGGAGCAGGAGCTGGCGAGGAAGGAGCAGGACGCGACGAGGCAGCGCGAGGCGGAGAAGAAGCGGAAGCATCTGCAGGAGATCGAGGAGCAGCAGCGCCAGCGCGACATCGAGAGTCTGAGGGACGCCAGGGAGAAGCAGAGACAGGAGATGAGGAAGCTGGTGGCGGCGAAGAACAAGGACGACAGATTCTCGGCCTACAACGAGAGGAAGGAGGCGTCCTCCGCGGCTAAGTTGAGAGATCAGACGCAGCAGTCGCAGTCGCAGAACTACGAGGTCCAACAGCATCCCAACACTTTCCCCCAGCAGCAGCAGTTCCATCATCAGCATCTGACCGAGGTCACTCACAAGAACGTCAACACGGTGCCCAAGTACAAGCCGCTGCCCACGGCCAACAGCTACAGCCAGCCACAGGCCCAAGATTACTACAACAGACAACAGCAGCAGATGCAGGTCGTCGAGACGACGACGGCCCTGCCGCCACCGAATCAACCTCCGCTCTCGGTCTACGCGAACCACCACCACCACCACAGCACCCAGGTCAAGATCGCGGACGTCGTCAGGGCCCTGAAGAACGCCCGTACCATCGCCGTGCTCGACACCTTCGGCCCGGACACCCCCAAGGTCTTCATCGGCCCCCGAAATCTCGATCCACCCCAAGGCTACGCCAAGTTCGATCTGCCCTATCTGTCCTCGATCGAGAACAATCGCGTCGAGCGCAACATCGACAAGCTGCCGTTCTTCGTGGCGCCGATGAGCTACGAGCCCGCCCGGGGCGCCAACAAGATACCGTTCCCGGCGCCGCACATCGGCTCGGTGATCGTCAACTCACTGGAGAACTTCGATCTCAAGGAGACCCAGACCAATCATCATCCGCATCCGTCGCCCGTGATCGAGCCCAACTCTTACCTCGTGAGTAATCCACCCCTACCGGCTTACGACGTGAGTACACCCGCGTCGTCGTCGGTCTACGCCACCGAGTCCACGACACCGAGCTACGAGACTTCGGCTTCACCCGTGTTCCGCTACGAGACCTCCTCGCCGACTCCGCGCTACGAATCTTCGACTTTGCCGCCTAGTCAGTTAACGACCAAGTGGAGATTCAGGGACTACGGCGCCGAGAAGGCGACGACCGAGGCGCCACCCGCCTTCGTCACCACGTCTTACAGAGACACCTCCAGAGGCAAATACAACGACAGGCCGAGCAAGGCCAAGAGCAATTACTACAGCCAGAACGAGGTGTCGACCACCCCGAACTACTACAGCAGCCATCCCAAGACGGTGTCGTCGTTCGCCTACGAGACCGTGCCGTCCACCACACCCGTCTACGACAACGTAGAACCCCAGCGTCAGAAGAACGTCGTCAATCACCTGTTCGAGCAGACGTTCGGCTACAATCGTCAACAAAATCGCTACCAAGAACCCCAACAGGTGGACTATCAGCAAACCAATCAGAGGTATCCGGTCGATCCGGTGGGTCACTCAGTGAGCCCGACCTACTACCCGACGCAGACGCCCTCGTACGACGACCAGTCGCAGTACAATCTGCCGGCCGATTTGCCCGCAATCTCGCCTCAATTGCCGGGATTGGTGAACGCTCTGGTCGAGAAACCCGGCCAGCTCGGCAGCTCGGTATTGCCCGCGGTATCGACCATACCGACTACTATCCCAACCACGACTACCACCACCACGACCACCGAAGCCCCGACGACGGTTCAGAGGAATCGTTCCAGGCAAAGGTCAGTCCATTCATCCCGAAATCGGTATTGAAAAATCGTTTTTTATTTTTATTTAATAAAATCATCGATGACATTTCAGAGGTAGAGTAACCGCTTCCCGAGCGACTACGACTACCCAATCGCCTCAGTCCTACCGAGGTGGCAACGCCGAACGACCGACCCGCCGACCGGTCAACCGATCGAGATCCCGCTTCACGACCACCACCACCACCGAGCAGTACCAAGAGGTCAACGACAACAACAGCCAGAACTCCTACGAACCCACACGCAGAAATCCCTCGACGACTCCCAAGTACGAGGAGCAGCAGGACAGCGGCAAGGGACTGCGCAAGACCACCCCGAAATCCTCGTTCAACTTCCGCTTCGGCGAGTACGAGCAGGAGGACGAGCGCGACGATGGACTGAGAAGATCGACGACGCCTCGTAGCCAGCTGTATCAGAGAGAGCAGCTGGAGACCGAATCGATCCCGACTAAAGTGAGTCGATATAAATTATAATCTCAACTTTTAACTAAACGATAAACTTTGATTTGCAGTTTATCGAGAAGCAACGAGAGCAAGTCAACCAGCAGCAAGTGTCCATCGACGAGGTCTCGGTGAGCAATCCGTCCTACCAGCAGGACGACTACTCGACCGTGTCAACGGCCTCGCCCACGCCCACCGAGGTCACCTTCCAGCCGCAACATCGATACAACGTCGGCTCCCAGGGCATCGGCGCCGACTCGCTCCTACCCCTGGCCGGACTCGAGTACACCTCGCGCAAGGTCACCCTGGCCCCGCAGGTCTACTCGTCGAGCTCGGCCGCCTACGACGACACCCCCAGCACCGTGACCGAACATTACCGTTACTCGACGACCCGAGACTACCCGTACTACAGCAGCAGTACCGCGGGCAGAACCGAGAGTCCAGTGTACGAGCCCGTGCCTACCACCGATCTGCCGAGAGAGCAGTACTCGCCGGTCTATCAGTCGTCCCACGAGGCCACGCCGAGGCCGATCTATCGCGACGAGCAGCAGCAGGTGGAGGAGGAGCAGCCGATCTACCAGCCTATCCCGCAGGATAAGCAGGAGGATTACACTTATCAGACCACCGAGGCCGAACAGATAGCCGAGGTGAGCATTGTATGCTTATATATTTAGTACTATTATTATCGCCTGCAAATGCGATATGTATGTGTGTATGTCGGCTTAATGACCTATATATAAAGCTCGGCGCGAGAAAGTTTCGATTTTCATTCTATACGTCGATATCGTTTGAATCAATTCGAGGCAAAAAAAAACTACACTAATATATAGACCAGCTCATTTGGTGAAACGCGCGCGCGCCGATAATTGCTGTTGTTTTTACACCGTTTGTGTGTACAACAGTTACCTTTGAATTTATATATATATATTTATACAGTTGAATTGGCCTCGCGTTGAATTCTCGAATTAACTACAGCAAAAGTATCGAGAGAGAGAAAAGACTCTTGAAAAACTTTTCCAGTTAATCAAGCGGCGGCCCTCGCTCCCCGCCGATCTTAATCAATTCTCGACTCTGTGTGCGAGTGAGCATCAATTCGAAAGGTGCTAACTATAAAAGATATTTCCTCCTTCTTCTTCTCGACGTGTGTAGGAGGCTCTCAAACATTTCTCGGTGAAAAGTTTTATACGTTTGGGCGCGCTGTACATACGCCGCGGAGAAAGTCAAGGTTGTGCATTTGCACGACGACGATATACGTGTGTGTGTGTGTACCTTTATCAAATCGAAAGATCCTTGAAAATTATAATTGTGTGTCGAATTCCAAAGAGGAAGAGGAAAAAAAAAGGATAAAAACGTGTTTTGTTCTTTGAGCGGTAGTAGTAGCAGCAGCAAACTTTATCATTAGGAGTTCCTGTACGCTGTATAATGTTATAATGTGTGCTCTCGAATTATACGAGGTCAGCGATTTTTCCGCTGTCTGAGCTTAGCAGCAGCAGCGACTCGAGTCAATTCAAATTTATGGAGCGATTGTTCGCTCATGTATTAACGTACGTACGTATGGAGCAGAGCTAGCTCGTTAGTCCATTTGCCTTAACGCGCCGTAAACTGGGCGTAATCTTCGAGTTTTTTTATTATTATTATTATCATATACGCTCTGTTAAATTCACGGACAGAGATCGAGTTATTAAACATCGTAATCGAATATTTATCTCATTATGCTACTTTTCAGACTACACCGTTGAGCACTACCCCAACTACGACGACAACGACCACCACCACCACCACCACGACGGAAGCACCAACGACGGTCATCCGTCAAAAGGTACGCGGTCGCTTCGGTGCCCGGCCGGCCCAGCAACGCGAGCAGCAGGAGGCCACCATTCAGACCAGACCGCGCGCCGGCGAGAGCGAGTTTGTGCGCTTCAGCGCGGTGAACCAGGACCGCGATCAGGACCGTACAAGACCCACGTCATCGTCCTCGGCAGCGGCGGCGAATCGTCAACGCGGCAGAGGTCGACAGCGTCAGAGACTGCCCCAGCAGGAGACGGCCGTCGTTCAGACCGAGGGCCAGGAGTTCGTGAACATCAGATCGTCCTCGTCGTCGTCGCGCAACAGATACACCACGACGACGACCCCGGCACCGGCCACTTACGCGCCGACCACCACCGTCTCGTCGAGCGAGGAGCAGCAGCGACCCTCGGAGTCGACCGAGGACGTCGCGCAGGACTACGGATTCATCAAGAATCACAAGCCGAATTACAAGTTGTCGGCTAACGCCAAGCCCAGCAGCTCGCAATCGTCACAGGTGAGTCGTCGTACTACTGGTAGCTGTGTATATAATCCGCACTGCAACGAGCGTCGAGTACAACCTTTTGCTTAATCGATATAAAAGCACTTGGGAGAAATTAGACACCCTCGTCCTCTCCTCCCTTCCTGACGCGCGCTCGCGCGGCGCGTAAATTAGGTCAAAACGAGCGTGCGAGTGTGTGTGTGTCCTATCTCCAACGAGAGCGAGAGAGTTACGCGCTTGAATTCGTTTTGGCGTACGTGTATAAGACGTAATTAACGACAAGACGAATTGCCCAGCGTATATAACACTGTAGAGTCACATTTTCGACCGAAGGAGCGGTAATATAAAATTTACAAAATTTTAGAACACAAAGATTTAATCTCGTATGGTTAACACTGACTTGCTTATTTGTAAAATTATTTTTTTACTTTGCCGCTAGCGGATTTCAAATCAAAGAGGTTACTCGCTATCTTGCGGGAGAGGCAGACTTTACTTAGAGTAACATAAAATCGGGTGGAGAATTAGTGTACCTTTATACAATTGTTTTGAATTAGCCACTTGCAGATTTACAAATATAGGTACTCGCCATCTAGTGGTAAAGAAGGGGTTTAATTATGATCGAAATTGCAAATGATACATCAATATCGCAACATTAATTTTCATTTAATTTAATTAAATTGAAATCAAGAATTAATTGAGTGTGTTTTGTTTTAAACATTTTTACACAATTACATTTTCATGAATTTTTTTTTGTAGTTTTATGCAAAAGAGAAAAAATTAGTATTGATATGTACCTTGAATAAAATTTGGTATTGATTACTTTAATATTTATGTCCACATTAAAATTAAATTCTCTTCAAATTTATAAGTTTTTTTTGAGCCTGAATAAAATGCAAACTAATTTCTGTTTTCATAATAATACATTATACATACGCGTACGAAACATTCGAAATCGCACTCCGAGACAAAATAGTCTCGGCAATGAATCAACATGAGAATTCGAAGATAATGCCTCGAAATTACTCGCATAATAGCTTTGGTAGGGGGGACCGCCGCCGCCGCCGCGACGACTGTCGCTCCAGTGAAAATAAAGAGGCATTAAAATTTTTATCATACCAAAAGTGCATGAACTTTCAAAGTAATTTCAACTAATTTTCAAGTCGAATAAATTCCTCTGAACTGAAAGATTTCGTACGAAGTCGACTCTCGAGTCGCACACAATATATAGCTAATTTGCAATTTCGCCAGAGAGTACATATCATATTATAATCTCGAGTCGCTAATTATAATTACAGAGCGTCGAGTCCAACGAATCCAGCAGCAGCAGCGTCGAGAACGGCAACTCGCCCCAGTCGCAGCTCCTGAAGAACCGCTCCAAGTACCTGAGCGCGGCGCGTCGTCAGCCTGGCAACTTTGCCGGCCGCTCCACCACGACCACTAGCACCAACGCCAGTCCCTCGACGACGACCCCTAGATCGTCCGAGGAATCGACCACTCGTCGGGTCTATCTGAGACAGCGTCAACAGCAGCAGGCCAACTCGGCCAACGCCAACGAGGAGGCGGTCCGCCAGGGCAAGACCCAGAGGCCGAGACTGCGCAAGAACGGAATCGGCGGCAGGCGTCGCGTGAGCACGACCACCACGACGAGCACCGAGGCTTCGGTCGAGGACAACAACGAGCTGCCCCAAGGACAGGATAACGCCGACGACAGCGTGAGTGATGAACGATTACGATTACGAATTGTATAACTGTGTTGTTGTTTTCACGTGTGTATGTTTTTTGAAGTGACTAACGCTATACACGTGTGTGTGTCTATCTGTCTGCAAATAAGCACTCGTAAATCTATCGCCGGCTCGGAATCGGACTCGGCGCGCGTTGAATGGGAAAAAAGATGCGTGGGTGTGTGTATAGGTATACGCGATTCAGGACGCGGTGTATTATGTTACACCGATAGGGATAAGATCGCGCGGTCGAGCGCTATTACTTTACATACTTACACCATCTTGCTTAAATACACACAATGGTTATTCAACTTTTTCTGCCCGCCGCCGCCGCCGGCGTTATAAATAAAACGTGTGTATTACGTGATTTCTCGCGTGGCTTTATAATCTTTTTTTATTTAAACTTCGGAACGAAATTCAAAGTAGAAAGCTATTTGGTATGTGTGTATGTGGTCTAGCTGCGAGCGCGAATAAACTGCGCGTGTAAACTCGTCGATCTTTATAGCGCCCCGGTTGTGTGTGTATATTTATGCACAAACAATTTGATAGATAGATCGTAAGCTTTCTTTGCGGAACGCGCGATTCACGTCTCAATTCCGCATAATATATATCTAAACGTTGTATACAATATATGCGCATCGAGGATGAAAAAAAAATTACGCAACAATTGCACAATTGATTTTCGCGCGCGGTTTATCCGGGCGCCCTTTTTCAATGCTCCGTATATCATCGACTTGCGATCGATCGAACGTAATATATTGCATTAAAATAATGAATTCTCGAGTATACATGAAGCACGTGTGCCTCGTGTTCTCAGGAATTAACCTGCCTTATCTGCGATATGATACGAAACACTGTCATTTAAAGCTCTCTCGATGTATGGGGCATCGAATTTGCATACCGAGAAAAAAGAAGCCAAGTATATATAATGTTTAAAAGGAAAAATTGCATATGCCAGGCACACATGAAAGTTCCAAAGAGATTTACATCGAGCATTACGTTAGCAGGCAGGCACACTTGCATATGTGTGTGTGTGTAGCCGTGCGCGCGCGCTGGGAATCGATTGTCCTGAATTTTTCTCACTGCACTCATGCTCATGACTCCGTATACACGTGTGTGTGTGTGTGTGTGGGTAAGCTTGACTGCCAGCGCGTGCAGTTGGGCATGCTTTCGCGATTCCTCGCGGCTTTCTCGCTTTCATACACGTTTATGCGCGCGCGCGCCTTATATACTACTACTTTATATATATACCGAGTCGAGAGTGTGTGCTTGTACGACTGGTAGCACTTCTCAGTGGGTGTATATACTTCTTGCTATTTGATTCGTGTGCGTGTGCGTCACCTCGTTCGACGCGAGAGAAGAGTTCGATCTCGATCTCGTTTGACGCGTGCGTCTGGTATGATGAAAACCTTAATTGCCCGTTTACGCTTTATACGCGATGACGTCCGCCGAGAGGTAAAAGTTTTTTTTTTTAATTATTTGCACCATTCGCGAACGTTTTCGATTTAAACTGGACTAAAGTACGCTAAAAGTCATTTCCCTCGACGATTTTCCATATACGTACGTTAATAATAGAGAATGTATGCGCGCGAACTCGAGCGTGAAATTAGAAATATAACATAATTATGAATATATTCCATCGCAGAGATACCCGCAGGACTTTGTGCTGAACTACGGAGCCACGCAGAGCTTCCACAGGGACGATTACGACCAAGCCCAGCTGGCCAGCGACAGGTCACGCTCGCAGCACTCGCGCTCGCGCACCAGCCCGGGCCGCCACACCGACATCTACGGCTCCGAGAGCCAGTGGTCCACCAAGTTCAACGGCAATACCTACCAGCAGCCCAACAGCTTCGACGCCAACGACGAAAAACCATCCACGGTAGATGCCGAGAAAGCCGGCGTACAACCCGAAAACAACGGTAGCGATGATTCCGGCAGCAACAGCAGCGGTTCGACCTCGGCCAGCACCGAGGAGACGACCAACAACCTCACAAGCTCCGAGGAGAGCGCCAAGAAGACCCTGAGCACGATGACCGAGGACTTCGGCAAGAAGCAGACCGAGAACGGAACCCAAGAGGAGGAGGAGATCAAGGAACCCGCACAGGGTACCGAGGTGAGCAGTACGCCCGAGGGTAGTACCAGCACCAGCACCACTACTACCGAGAGCACTAGCACGAGCACGGCAAAAGCACTTTACGGCAAATATTCGGGCAAGAAGGTAAGAGGGAGCATGGCACGCGTTAGAGGCCCTTTGTAACTTTTGCACACACTTCTTTTTGTTCTGTTTCTTTGCATGCCTTCACCGATTAACCGCATTATTGTTGTTGTTGTTGTTGTTGTTGTTGTTGTTGTTGTTGTGAACTAATACAGATCGCCAATGACTCGTACTTGAGTAATTTAACTAATCGATAACGACAATTCACAGGGTACGCAGAGAAGGAAGCGCCTGAGGGCACGCCCGAAGCCCACTCCCAACACGCGTCACTTGCAGACTTCCACCCTGATCGACGAGTCCGTCGTGTCGATCGGCTCGACCGAGTTCCGCAACTTCTACGTGTCCACCAGACAGCCCTACTGGCGCCCGAGAGGCACCGCACCACCGTCCACGACGACGACTCAGTTCGCAACCCAATCCACAACTCCGTCAACGAGTACGACGGTAACGACGACCACTAGCACTACCACCGAGGCACCGACCACCGAAGAGAAATCCGCGTTCGAGTCTTTCCTCGACAAGATGTTGGGCGAGAGCGAGGATGAAGCGACCATGACCACCGAGGTACCGTCGACCGAGCCGTCTTCCTCGACCACTCCCTCGTCGACGTCGATGAGTCCCGAGGACATCTGGACGATGGCCGCCGCCACCGACATGCCCTTCGACGAGGACACGATGACGACGCTGAGCGAGCAGAACTACAACAACGACGACAACGACGAGAGATACACCACGATCAACGACGATGGCACCGAAATGCCGACGACGGTCTACGTTGCCCCTACGACCACGGCTAAGCCGAGCACGACTCAGAGCACCACGACCACGACGACAACGACGCCAAAACCAACGACCCAAGAGGACGACTCCAAGAGCGGGGAGAATTCGGTGAGCTCGATCAGTCAAGAGAACTCGCTGAACTTCTTCGCCAACAAGAGCCCGGCGCTCAAGGAGTATCTGCAATCGAAGAAAGCCAACGCCGACGGCCATCCCAACAATCACCGCTCCAAGTGGAGCGAGGTGCGCTACCCCACGGACAAGTCCCTCTTCAAGTGGAACCCCAAGAGCAATCAGACCGGAAGTTCCACGGAGGAGAACAGCAGCAGTAGCCAATCGACCGAGCAGAAGCCGGACAACAACCAAGTCAGCGACTACGTGCAGGCCATCTTCGAGAGCATCAAGAGCGCCGATCAGGAGCCCCAAGCGGCCAAACCCTACCAGAGCAGCCGACAAGAGAAGGAACTGCTGACCGAGCCACTGACGGTGTTCAAGACGTCGGTGTCGTCGTCGAGTCGCGTCGTCGCCGGCCAGCCCCAGGTGGTGAGCTTCAGTCAGCTGCGCGACGCCAAGACCAAGGGCACCTCGAGCAGCGCGAGAACAGTGACCTTCGGCCCGTTCGTGCCGTCCCTGGGCGTGGACAAGCTCTCGGGCATACCGACGAAGAAGGTGCCCAGCTCGCTGGACGCCAAGTCGCTGAAGAACGTCGACGCCGCCGCGGCGGCTACGAAGGGAGCCGACCAAATGACCGAGATCTGCTATCGCGGACGTTGCGTCATGAAGGGCGCCCGATGAGCAGCATAGAGAGGATGAAAATCGATCAAAAAAGTTTATATGGAAACCCCGGAGAGACTGGAAGTAACGTGTCTGACCCTTGACGACCCCTCTGTACAAAGTGATTATTTCTCCGCGATGATTTTGCAGCGCTGCTGCGTTTTGCGAGTTCCCATGTGTGTGTGTGTCCGAACTCGCGAAACGCTTCGCGCGATCAAGGGTTCTGCGAACTACTTCCAGCCTCGATTAATAATTTATCTTTCGACCATTCGACTATATTCGCGCTTTGAATCTCCAATAAAACATAAATAAAAAATTCATTTGCCGATCGGAGTAAATAATATATAATAATTTCATGACTTCGGGGGCCATCGATCGCTGTGTGAAAAGCTCGACGCTTAAAAATGCCTGAACGCACAAACAGACTTGTATAGAAGAAAAAAAAGGCGCGAGCAGCGTTTCAATTTTTTTTCATGCACACAACAACAAAAAAAACAAACAACTAATAGTCAGCGCGACATTTATTTCCACTGGCATGATACAGCTTTTTCTTTGTATAGTAACTCATGTTAATCCGTAGCTCTGTAAGTAATTTTATAACTTGTTTATTTTTTACATAGCGATTATTTTTTAATTACTGTTAAAGTGAAACTTAGATACTAAAACCGTATTGGCTGATTTGTCTGAGAAAAATTTTCGATCATGGATCAGATCATTGTGTAAAATAGTATCACAAATATAGTCTATTGTAAGAATCATTGAGCTTAGTAAGAACAAAAAAAAAATAAAGAATATGATGAACAACATTCTTTCATATTTTATCGATGTATACATAATTCATAATTATTACTACTTATAGTTAGTGTGTACCTAAGTGTATTCGATTCTATTATGAATATATAAAATGTATTACTTCTCAAGTTTTCTTGATGACTGTAATTAAGGTGACCGACAATTATTCTAATAAAATACACTTTTCAAATACGTCTCATTGTTATTTTTCTTTTGTCATTCAGAGTCTGTACCATTTAATTAACGTGTAACACTGAACTGAAAATAAAATTGTTTTGTTCATTTTTGTCACGCAAAAGAGAAACTTTCAATTAGATTAAAATTTTCACCTGACGAAGATTATTCATCAGTGTAACACTTTTGTATAAAAAAATATTACGTCGTCAGGCGTTACATACACTGAAAAGAACTGAAAATGAAAAAAGTTCCTACGTAGAAAAATTTTTCATTTCCATACGCGTACATCAAAGTTTGAAGTAAAATAGAAAAAAAAAACCTCCAGAGCCCGAGAAAACAAATAGAATGTGGCATGAAGATAATGAAAAGCCGGCATTCTTTCGCCTTCGTACAAAGAGTTGCATAATAAACTTGCTTTTGCTTTTATAGCCGCGAGGATTCTTGAAAGCCTTCATGTAAAAAACATGCTTCTCCCAAGACCGCTGCGCACTGCTCCACCATTCACGCGAAGAATCTTATTGCCAGTCAAATTTTTGGGACAATTGGACTCGAGTTCCTTTAACAGAGTAAAATTTCTGCTACCCTTAAAAATGCATACCACGCGTTAAAGTTTTATCTCGTTCTCTCTCTCTCTCGCGTCGAGTTTAGTCAAGACTCTTTAGGTTTTTAATTAGCTCGGGAGCGTTAAATTACCCCGAAAGAGTATTTTAACCCTTTTTTTCGCTTTTACCACAACGATCCTTTTTTTTTATCCCTGTCCTTCCATCGGTGTAATCGCCACTGCCCTTGAACTCGAGTCTTTACGTAATCTTCGCGGCGGGGGTATAACGTTTCTCGGATTTCTCGCCGCTTTTCTTTCGAAAGCAGAATGAAATTACATACGTTGCATTTCGCGTCCATCATCTACGTACATTAATTAATCGTCAAAATTTCTATAAAAAAAGCTTGATTGAAAATGCCTTCGGGGCTAATGAGCTCGCCCTTCTCTCTGCTTCTTCGATCCATCATCATTAGCCGCGAGAGAGGGAGAGATCAGCTTTAGCTTCATTCGTACTAAAGGATTATATACACACACGGAATCGAAAAGACCAGCTCTCGGTTTATACGCAATCGCGTGGCTTTTTCAAAGCACATCCCCAGCATCATCGTCGCTTCTAGCCGCACTGGCGAAACTATATACACATCACGAACTTACTACTCTCTACGAGCAGCAGCAGCGAAGTTCGTGCTGAGCAAACACGAGGCAAGCTGTATATATATGGCGATCGATCGCGAACGAGGGTGAACTGCCGCCTGCTGCTGCTGCTGCTGCAACGCCGCACGAGCTTATACTTTTAAAGCTGTAGATGGCGTCCGCCTCTTCTGAAAGCTTCGGGGGAGTCGAGTGCGGCACTCGTTCGTATCGTCACGGAGAGGATCGTGTAACGCATACCTCGGAGCTCTATGCTCGTAAATATTTGCGAGAGGTGTTAAACTATATACTCTTGACGACTGCTGCTGCTGCTATGTATATCTCGTAAAAAACATTTTTCTCCTTTTTTTTTCTTTGAAAAAGTAACGTACAAAAAAACTCGAAATAAAAAGGTAGAAAATCTGGAGAAATGATCTATACATTAAACCATCGTGCCTCGAGAAAATCGCTGTATCAGCTTATCGCATTGTGCGCGCGGCTGTAATCTTCGGGTCGAACTTCGCCCGCGCGCTCAAAGTTTTATAAAGCCAGAGGAGACAAACTATGACGCGCATACCCGAGCCGAGCTCTCGGTGGTGTATAAAGAAATTTTCATGAGTAATGACTTGAAAAGCTATTTATAATTTTGCTTTTGTTTTAATCCAACGAGACACGATGGGGGCCGCCGCCGCTTGCTGGCCAACTATATAACACGCGAAATAAATTGCATCCTAGGCAGCAAGCTCTAGGAGGACAACGGGGGAGACGTATCGGCTTTTAGTTAACTTTTCTTCGCTATTGAAATTCCTTCATGGACGACGCAACCCGCATCGCCCCCTCGTGAACAGAGATAACTTTTTCGAGACGGTTTTTTCCGTCGTTGCTTGAAATATAAACGAGAGTTTTAAATGACTCTCTGTGCCCTGCGCATGCAATAATGATGAAGTGGAATAACTCGAGAAGAGTCGGACGACTGGCGTATCGAGTTGCCACGCGGGGAAAAAAGATGTTGCACATTTTGTAAATTCGACCGGACGGAAATTCATCACACGCGCGCGAAGTAGAGTAACTCGAGACGAGGCAGACTCGCGTGGGTGCATCGAATTGCCAAATAAAAATTGTGTACATTTGTTGATCCAACGAAATCCTTCACGTGTAAAAAAAAAACATATATTTCTCTTCTTTACGAAGTAAAAATATCGATAGGAAAATTGCACTTTCTCTAGGTTAACGACGTAAAACGAATGAAGTTATAGCGGTAAAAAAAATATAATGGCTCAAGATTCACATCAAGCGGATAAAGTATGTCCTTCGAGATTAAGATTAAGTACGAATCAATGAAAAGCACCTTTTAGGGGGGTTAAAAGAGCCTCGAAAAGTTCAAGAAATCGAGCGAGCGCGCGGCTTTGCATCCACAAAGAGGGTAGTCTATACGGCCGTCGAGGGTTGGCTTAGCCTGAACATCATCCGCAGCACACACACACACACACACACACACACAATCTAGTCGAGTTCTGTGCAGATGTGCGGGTACCGAGGGTATATCTAATCAGGTCTCGGTCTAAATGAAGGTAAACGTTCGGTATTGCCTCTTTTCCGCTCTCCGACGTAGTCAGAACGGACGCTCCGGCAGAAAGAGAGAGAGAGATCCATTTGGGCTTTACTATATGTATGTGTACGAACGTGCGGAGCTCTGCACAGGAAGGTCGCTCGAGCTCGAGGCGATTTTCGTTTAAAGCGACTGACTGCGACTGAATAATCGCGACCGATCAACGTCGTCGTAATATTTCGGCGAATCCACGCGTACTGATGCTTTTCTTGCTCGTTTGATATCGCGACTTTTTTTAAATAATCACGATCGCTGACGGCTATTGTGCGATGTTACAAGCTAACAAGAGCACGACGCGACGAGTCGTGTGAGCGTGGACTACATTTATAGAAAAAAAAGAAAAGAAGTAGATAGGTAGAAAGAGAGAAAAGTTCGCGCGCTCGATATCAGGCTATAAGTCGTCGTGTGTGCACGCCGAGAAACATCGCGTCGACACTCACACGTGTATACGATATGCGTAATAGCATCAAAAGCTTTACCCCCCAAGCGGTACCACCGACTAGCTCGTGCCTAGAAGAAGCGCAAAAAAGTAATGAAAAAAGAGAGAGAGAAAAAGAAAGTTTATTCGAGAGTGAGCAAAAAAAAAGTCAGTCAAGAATTTCCGAGAGAGAAAAGTTTGTGTTTTTTTGTTTTTTTATCCCACAGGCCGATAAACGCAAAAGAGAGAGTACAAAACCACCGCTAGAGCGTGAAAAATTCAAAAGAAAGAGCGAAAAAAATTAAGTAAGATCGGACACTAGACGAAGATAAGGTGAATGAAATTATTATATAAAAAATAAAAGAGGAAGAAGTAAGAAGTAAGAAGGGAAAGAGCAGCGATATACACGAATGTGGTCAAGTATAATATCCTTACATTCGCGTCGGGCTCGAAGTTGAGTCCTAGAGTGCTCTGCCATGGCAGTATAGAAGCAGCGAAGACAACGGCAGAGAAAGAAAGAAAGAAAGAAAGAAAAGACAAGTTTTATGGGCAAAAGGCGAGTTTTCTTGCACAGCCAGCAGCAGCACAGAGTTTGAGCTCGAGCAGGGGGAGGGCAGGGTAGAGTAGTATAGGTAGTAGTAGCAGCAGCAGCAGCAGCAGAGGAAAGGAAAGGAAAGGCAAAACGGGTGTGTAACTCTGTGTTACTATACTGCTATATGCTAGCTGCCTACATACAGATATATACAGATATACGCATAATCGGTCGTCCGCGAGAGCTTTCGCAGGGAGGGGTGTAGTGGGGGGGAGGGCGGCAAACCGGTCGCATGCGCGTCGCTCCGCACTCGAACTCTATACTCCGCCGCCGTAGTAGTAGTGACTAGTGGTGTGCGCACACGCTCGTTATCGAGTGTGCGTGCACACACACACACACACACAGGGTAGATAGCAGAGCGTCTAGTCGTTGTATATGTGCTTTTCAGTATCGAAGAAGCAGCGCGAGCGAGAGGTCGTGGTGCGCGCGTTGTCGTCGTGTTCGACGACGACTACGAGTTGTTGTGCTGCTGCGGCGGCGGCGGCGGCGGCGGCGGTGCGGAGTGTGTTTTTATCTCTTTGGTATAATAGTGCGTGTTTTGTTGTGCTGTTTCGCTGATCGCTGAGCTTTCGAGGCATTCGTTACTACGATGCCCGAAGGCGGCGGCGGTGGTGGCAACGAGGGGTCGTCGTCGTCGGCTGGCCCCGACGAGACAGCCCCTTTGTTGAGAGCGCAGCAGCAATCGAACGACGACGACGATTCGGCCACGATCGTCGGGGCCGACGGCCTCAAGCGCAGAAAAGTCATACACGCCGCCAAAGAGACACTCGATAAGGGTGAGCGTGTCTATGTATAGTTTCTGTATATTATACTATACTACACTTCCCTGTATCTGTCTCTCTCTCTCTCTCCCTCTCTCTCTCTTCCACTGTGTCTCGTTCGCATGGCGCGCACATATAGCTCGTCGTCGCTCGTCGGTTTCCGCAAAAGCCACGTTAATGCGACCGCTTACACACTTACGACCCTCTCCTCTCTCTCCTCTCCTCTACTCTCTGTTCTAGCATTATATGCGAGGAGGGGTGGTAAAAACGATCGTCGTAGTGATGGGTCATGTGCGTGGATGTACAGTGTTTTTTTCTCGAGAGTGAATTCGGCGTCGAATATAACAAGCTCCACTCGAGTGATCGTGGTCAACGATTGTGCGAGCTTTCGTCGCCTTTAAACGCTTTCGAATCACTTCGGGCTCCGAAAAATGAGAAGAGAGAACCTTTACAAGTTATTTTTAGGATTTTTTTCTCTCTCTCTCTCTCGCTCACTCTCTCGCTCGAGGATTATTTGGGTTAACGACAGTTCTTCAGCTTTTTAATCTCGGAGAGCGTGTTGGGCGCGCAAAATCGATTCTCGTCGTACGAAATGCTCTTTAATCGTTGTACACTAGAGCCGTGTGTTCGGTGTGTGTGTGTGTGTGTGTGTGCATGGGCTAACTCGAAAGAAAATCTTTTTTCCGCAAGGTCAGAAATTTTCTTTATTCAAACAACGCTGCGAACCAATGTGACTCTCGTATCAAAATTTACAATCTCAGCGTACATGTGCAGCGCTATTAAATGCGCCTTCGCCCGTGTTTTCATTTCACGGGCGAAAATTAAAGTAGAGCCGCCGCCGCCGCCGCTGCCTCGTACGCGATAGATCATAAAACTTTTACATCGATTTCGCGAGTTTCGCTTGTATAATGAAAAATTATTGCACTTCGACTGGAACGAAAACACGGATCGCACAAAACTCTCCCGCGTACTTTATTGTGGATTTTAACTTAATGTACGTTCGGGGAATTGCTCCATTCGTCGGCAAATTCGCGTAAACAACGAAGAAAAAGCTCTTGAACGAGCTTGCAATGTTGTATATAATTTTATTTGTGTGCCGTTCGTCCGCTTTGCATTGTACACAGTTTTACGTTTATAAACTTGTGCAAAGCCGACAATAACAATTATCTAAATTGTAGAAAAAAAAGCCTTCCCCGTCGACTATACTCGCGCTCGTACGCAATGCAATATACTTACGTAATATTCTTGCTGAACTCTGCGTTTCCAATTTTTTAAGTACACAAATATACTCGAATCGAATTAAATAAGTTTTTTGGAGCGTATTTGCTTTTCTTATATACTTATTTAATGTTATCGCGAGGCAAAAAAACTTTCTTCGTGAAAAACAATCGAATATTTGGCCAAAGAAAATTTTTCAAGACGTAATAAAGCGGCCGCCGCCGCACGAGCGGTAAAAAGTATTAAAAGCCAAGAATATATAGGTAAACAAAAGTTTCGTTTTGAAACGCGTATACCCTAAATAGCGGATTTCACAATGCAGTAATGTATTTTGTAGAAGTAAGTTCTTACTTTTGTCGCTCGACTCGTTGAAATGTAACTTGGGCGGAATTTCTTTCCAACCCTGGAAATATGCGATCTTCGGTACACACAATTTTGTTTATTCAATAAAACTGCATGGATACCGAATTTTCGATCTCGCTTGTGCATATATATAGAAAAAAAGTTCCTGCAGCTACTGCACCGCGAAGACCCACTCGTACTCGATATGAGTTGAGAGTTTATTTTTGAGATTGACTTCAATTGTATCGCGCAACGAGATCGTAATTAAAATAAGTTTTAATAAACATTTGGCCCCCCTTGTCAGAAGAGTTTTCGCGCCCCCCGGAGGTTATAAAATTCCGCACGAAAATAATTCGCGCGAAAAGGAAAACTGAAAATTGACATTATATGATACATCCAGTTTAAAACGAGACGTACGCTTTTGATATTTGTCAAAAACTCATCGAGCGTGTGCACACGTTACTAAAACCGACGAATTTTCCAAAAATTCGCGGATGAATTATCATCATCCTCGCGAAAATGTAAACTCGTAAATAAACTCTCGGGGAGCTGAATTTATAATAAACACGCGCGAAACGTCGAGCTCGCATCAATTAGTTATGTAAGCATCAAATGCTCCGCACCGAGTCCAAATGTTCGAGTCCTATTACGTATACTTACTTTTTGGGTTGTATATTTGCACGTACATTATAACTCGACGCTTGTGCTCAAAGAGCATTGATAAAGAGGGAAGACGCGTTGAATCTTGTCAACTGCAGATGTAGACCATCGTGTTGTCGTTGTTGTCGCCTTATCGAGAATGTCAAAACGTCGATCTAGTAGACGCGACTATACACGCGAAACAACACGACACGCGGCTATATATAACACAGATATGTCGTTGAGACGAAGAAAATGCGAGGAAAATTCATACGCGCAATTGGCTGTATAATATAAATATCGACGGATATACACACCTTACACATACGCTGCGCCAAAGGGATAATTTATTCGTATACACATACGACTTCTACGTATAATACTCTTTGCTGTGCTGCTGCTCCATCGAATGGAAATTATACAATGGGCTGCCGTGCGCCAGTAGAGAACTCGACATTAATTTATCACGCCGCGCCAAGTCGCGCGTATGATCCGCAAGCTCGATATTGTACTGCAGAGAATACGTGGGTAAAACGTGAACCTGACGTTTTCAAATCGAGTCTACGCGGTATACATTGTGTTGTCGAATTTTATTATTTACAGTGGGTTTGTGTGTCGGGGAAAAATGATTAATATTCGCCAAAATAAACTCTTTTAAATTACTCGTCGCGCATTTTTCATCCGTTGTTTACACTTTTATGCGCATTACAGCCCGCGGAATAATGTGTCGACGTGCCCGCGAGCTTTTTCACTCGAAAGTATTCGTCAATATTTACGTATTTTTATGTCGGGGCAAACAACCATTAGCTATTTCATTTGTCGTAATATGTAAACCACGAACGATCGTATAAATTTCAAAGCGAAGTGGAATAAATTTAAAAGAAGAAGAAGAAATTGGAGTAAATACACGCTTTACTAATCAAAGCAATTATATACGAACGAAGTGGTTGGCGCCCACGCGGGTATTAAAAATCAATTTCGCGTCGAGCCTTATACTACTACTATAAACTACGTATCCGGTGTATACGACTATTTTTTCACCCGTATAAATTCATTTATTAAGTCAACGCACACAGAAATCGTTTACCGAACGCGCTACAAAAGACCAAAAAGGGAGCGCGAAAGAAAATACAATCGAATTTTTCCACTCGGCCGAATAATGGATACAGGATTGCTGCGAGCTCAAAAAATTTGGACGATAAACGTAAACCTCGCTAATGGAGCCGTTTCTCCTTCTGTGTTGGAATTAAAAACAAAAAATTTTTTTCGGACGCTCGTATAAAATAATTAACCGGAGTACGATTAACGTGCTATTTTCAGTCGGTACGGCGCGAGCGAGGGAAAAAGCCAATGAAAGAGTAGTTAGGCAGTTCCTCTCTTTATTCGCACGTATGCGAAACGAAGCTCGCAGTTGTGTTTGCGTCCCCCTAGTGACAAAGAGAAATTGTATTTTATCGATCCTATTCAAATATCGATTCAATGAATATCTCAAAACTATCAAATAACTCTTTGTTTCGAATGTTTTATGAAAAGTCGATCAATCAGAAGTTCGTGTGTTCGTGCTCCTGGTGTACGTACAGCGAGAGTTTAAAAGCTGTATCCTGAATAAAAAATGAACATTAGCACAGCAGCTTTCTAAAGCGTTCGATGGAATCGAAATTGCTCGTGAAAATCAGCTAAATCATCGTTTTAAAAATTAGTTCGCCAACAGCATGTACAATATATAAAAGCTCTCGCGTTGCTCGTACCTGTTAATACGCGTTTAATTCGGAAAAGTGCGGGCCTAAAAACAAACAATTTTTCGCATGCGGCTTATCGCTCAGCGAGAATCAACGCGCATCAATTCTTAGGCGAGCGCATAACTACGTCTGGTGGACGAGCTTCCTGCCCACAACACTGGCTGGATGCAATAAAAAGCAACCAGCCACGCTCGACACACAGACGGCTACACGCATACATGTGTATACGATTCTCGCGGGCGTCCGTATCGATCTCCGGAAAGAATAAAAAAAACTAGGAGGCAAGATCGTTGGCTACGATGGTGTGTATGTAATAAGCGCGCGCAAAGAATACGACACGGGTATACCTGTATATGAGCAGATTTGTAAAAAAAATCCTTAGTGAGTAATATTTGAGGTCTGTGACGGAGCCGAAAAAAAGTCAGAAAAAAGTTTCGGATGATTTCAACAATCTCATGGGTTTTATTTATGAGAAAATGTCCCTTTAAACACAAAAATAGTTGTTGACAAAATATTTCAATACGCGGGTCCATATTTTTATCATGATTTTGGCCTCAAACTTTTAGTCTTGATCGTTTTTTAGAATTGCTATTATATCTCTACTCAAATCAAAGCATCAATCGAGCATCTTCTTGAATTATATTTTCCGCGAAATCTACCGGTAGATTTTTCAGAGAACGAAGCGACACCCGAGTACAATAACTGCGTTTGGAAGAAGTCGACGTTGGAGGGGGAAAGTTTTGCCAGGAAGCCATTACAGTTTCCGGATCATCTAAGTTCCCTCGCTAAGTGTGAAACTGCGTTACGCGACGAGCAATTAGTGTTTATAATTTATTTATGTAAAAAGATTCTATACTTGAAATTGAGCGACCATGTCAGTTATTTGAGGCGTTTAAACTACGGATATTTTCTCGGTCCACTACCTATCTAAAATCGACGTTCAGCGTTGGAACTCAAGGTATATAACCTCAAATTTTTTTTTCTGTGTATATAGTTACAAATTAAGTGAATACTATCAATTAAAGAAGTGATGGAAAGCACCGGTGACGTAGTTAGGTAAACTTTTTCGATTCTATT